CAATTCAGCCATTACAGGGCGTCACACAGACCAGACAACCATGCACACACACACAGGTTTGTTTTCATGACATATGAGGACATTTAATTGACTTGCATTCATTTTATATGGCCTAACTCAGACCCTTACCCTAACCCTAACTATTACCAAGATGAACCTAATCCTAACCTAACCTGAATTCACACCTTAATCCTAAACCTAACCCTAACTCAGAGAACAGAACTTTACCATATAGGGACCAGTTGAATGTCCTCATATGTGCTTGTAAATCCTCGCATGTAGGATATTTTTCTAAATATTTCCCTCACATTGTAGGTAAAACAAGACCGCACACACACACACCCGGGGCAATTAAGAGAGACCAATCAACCCAACGTTCATAGTGTTTTGGACACAAACCAGGAGGACATGCAGCATTTATACAGAAAAGTTCCTTGGTTAGGGTTTGAGCCCAGAGCTGCTTGCTGTATGCAACTGAGTATTTATGCTAACTGCTAAGCAAAGAGCCTAAATAGGAATTACATGGAATATTTTGGCCTGTGCTCCTTATTAAATTAGTAACCAACCCCTATGGGAGTAAAAATATCCTGAACACGGATGATTATAGTACTTTAAAAAATGAGAATTTGTTCATATCGTATTCGGGCTGAAAATCCGGAAAATAAATTTAAAAAATAAAGACAAAGAAACAAGAAAGAGTGTTGAAAAAAAGAGTCCCTCTGAGACGTTACAGTGGTGCTTTGAATGGAGGGTGTGAACAGCAGGTGAGCGGACAGTTTGAATACTGACATAATTCTCCAGCTGGTTCTGTCGTTCGAGAGGTTCATCAAGCGGCGCGGCGTTGATGTCAGAGATGGAAACGCCGCTGCAGGCGTTTAGTGTGACCAGGAAGACCAAGGATCCTCTGCTGGAGCTCAGGTTGGGTGTGAAACACTGCTGCATATTGAAAGGCATCTGGGACAGGTCCACCTCACACCTGTGCAGACACACACAGACATACACAGCGCCGTTCCATAACGTTAAATCGGTCCACCTACTCAAAAAAAAGACAGAATCCATATCTGCGCTTTCTGTTTATAGAGTTAGATCAACCAACAGTAGCGTGTAGTCTACTTTAGCAAAGATCAAACAGTGTAAGCTAAGAAAATAACTATACAAATCAATACTTGGGGATTTAAGTGAATTTGCAGCAGTTTTAAAAAGTATTAATAATTAAAAATGATCATAACACACAGACACAAAAACTAAATATAATAACGTTTATATATATATACACCGTAAATCCTCTAATATAGGCCCGGGCCTTTATTTCAGTCAAGTGCATCGCGGTCCAGGCCTTTATTGGAAAGAGGCCAGAATTAGAGACAGGCCTCTATTGCTATTTGAGCAAAACAGACTACCAGTGGAATGAATAAAAATGAGATTTTGTGTCTATTTGAACCTATAAAACACTAGGTTCATTTATTGAAAAAGTACAGTTACCATGTCTCGCTTGGTTTGAAGTAAAAAAGAAAAAAAAAATCCTCCAATTCTGTTTAATCCTCCTCCTCAGTTTCCTCCTCCTCTTCATCTCTCCCTTCAATCTCCTCATCACTCGCGCTGCTCCTCATTTTCTGCTGCGTGTCTGTCTAACTTTGATTTTCTATTATCTGTTATCTAGCTCTCTCCTTTTTTGGACATGTACCTTTAAATCAATCAGTACCTACATTGCTACACAATAATAAAATTACATGAGACTTAGAAGCATGAAAAAAAGGAGAAAAGGTGATGGAGGGAACGTTTATGGTATTACTGCTTGGATGAGGCTCTGAATGCACCTTAACCCAGGGGGTTATGTGTTACCACTGGGCCATGACCTGAGGTCCCACTGGGTAGTAAGACAGTGAATCTCTAGGGTGAGGTTAAAACATATGATAGAGAAGGCAGAGCTAAGATATTTATAGCAGTTTAAGATTTACTACCAGTATTTTAATCCAGTGTATGCAGTAAACAAATTGTTAAGTTTTAATTTTAGATAGATTGAATCAAGCACTGGGAAATATTTAAAGCTTATGGATCTCCTTTCCAAACCGAAACCTGCTTCAAACTTAAATGAGTTTCTCCCTGAACACGGGCTGCGACCATCGCTTAAAATAATGTTATTAACTGAGGTTTTCTCCACCGATGGATGAACCCTGAGTTTGACTTAAATCTCAAGGCAGTCAGTTACACTTTATTTCATTTAAAGATGCTGGAGGAAAGGCGGTGTAATAAACACTTTTAAGAATTTATTGTATAAAACTAACAATAATGCCAGAAAATAGGCCCACAGAGAGAGTGAAGAAGAGTCACTCACGTCGCCAAGCGCTCCTCATTCCTGCGGGATTCTTTGGACCACAGCTCCACCTCCAGGATCTGTGCAGCATTCAGGAAATGCTTCATGGTGAATCTTTCTCTCCACTGAGGATTGGCCACTTTGCAGTGATTCTGAATAAAAAGAGAACATGAAAGGTAAACAAAAACAGCCTGACCTGCCTCAAAAGAACAATTAGTGATGCTGTGCTTTGTTTTTGTTCTAGTATTTATAAGATAAGAGTCATTAAGAGTCAGCCAGCTTTCTCTGGAGAATACATAATACTTGAAAGATTTAGTGTGTAGCCTGTGTACATCTGTGGCCTGAGTGGATGCAGAAAGAGGCTTAAAACAAATTGGAGATTCAAGTGGGCAGGTGAAAAACAAAACACATAAAGAAGAATGAGGAGGAGAGGAAAACCACCTTGCTTTTAAACTGCTGCTCTCCCAGTTTGAAGCGAACAAACAGATGACCAGTCTGGCTGTCCAGAAGCAGCCCCCGACCTTCAACCAGTATCACCGACAAAACGGACGTCCAAAGCTGGCTCTTCTTCAGTGAATCAGACAACCTAGAGTTCTGGGAACTCCCTCCCTGTAACAGAGGAGGCAGGTCCAAATGAGACAGACAGAATGTGTAAAGAAGGATGGAAGTTGGGAGAGAGAACAAAAATCAATAAAGTTTAATCAAATCTCCAAAGACAGGCACATAAAGTGTAGAAGAAACACCTGAAGACAGAAAAATCAAAAGCAAACCAGTTTACTGAGTGGAAAACAGTATTTGATTCAGAGCTTTTAATGGACACCTCAAAGAAAAACATAAAAAATTTAAAATGCAAATGAACCTCATTTCGAACCTTTTTGATTCCGTAGAACAGCTTTATTAGGCCTGCTATGCTTTACTATTTTAAAACCTGCAACCAACGGTTTGCTCACACTCACAAACATGCTTAAACTGGAATGCAACCGGACTTTCATTCTGGATTTTTGTTTTTTTAAGACGTGTACCTTCTGTTTACTGGCAGCACCCAACATTTGCTCTGCTGCAAACAAATTTAAGCTTGTGGTTTTCATCACCCGGATGACTGAGAATATACACAAACAGGTTCCTCACACTATTTCTATTGTTTAATGTCCTTTTTTAAGGATGCACAAAGAAGTTCCGCTTCTATGGTTGTCCAGATAGTCCAGAAAGGTTCTTACCTTGCCCTCCCCCTGCCTGTTGCTGAACACTGCTGGTCAGCTGACAAGGAAAAAGCTAACTTTCTTATAAGCAACACGGATAGAAATTAGGGATGCACGATATTGGGATTTTGGCCGATATCCGATATGCCGATATTTTAAAACTCATGTAGCCGA